TTCAGCGGTTTTTGGGGGGGGGGGTTTATTGCAGCTTAACAGCTTTTTGGGGTTGAAGCCTACATGTGGGATTTTAATTTCTTCTGTGTGGAAAACGGCAGCTGCAAAACTGATTAACTAAAGGGGAGTGTTTAACTGAGCAACAGCCAGAATTCCTGGACTGACTATTGTGCATTGTTAAACAGACTTGGATTAAGCTTTTTATACCAAAATTAGGTGGTCACGCTTTCCTTTTTTTTTCCTAAATCCAGTTCTCTGCTAAACACTGCTCTGGGTCTTGTTACTGACAGCCCGCTTTGGTTTTTGGATGTTGCCAAAACTGCTGTACTATATTTTCATGTAATAGTTGTTCATTGGGATGCATAGGTGGTTTAAAGGGTTTTCTACTTTGGTACAGAATGATTTTTAGGGCTGGTTCACACCATCTGCGTTCGGGCTGTGCTGATCCTTTTTTCCTGCGCAGCCCAAATGCAAGTCAAGGCAATTTGACTTGTCATGCATGGGCTTGGTTCACGCCACCGTGTTCCGGTGGTGCGTATTTAAAGACGCACACAGTGAGACACTGTACAACCACATCACACCACGGTGAGCACGTACAACTGAATGAAATGTCACTTGTGACATTTCAATAAAGTTGTACCAAAAAAAAAAAGAATAAAGAAACATTGCAATGCAGCTCAATTAAGCACATTGGCACTGCCTGGGGACATTCTCACCTGCAGCCATGCGAGTGAACGTACCCTTAAGGTGGTCCTCCAGCCAAAACGTATTCTAACTGTGGCTATAGCAAGGAAGAGTTAGAACAGGGGTGGGCAAACTGCAGCCCGCCAGCTGTGGTGAAACTACAAATCTCATGATACATGTGTCTCTGGGAGCCATGCCTGTGGTTAAGAATCTTTCAGTGACTCATGGGATTTGTAGTTCCACAACAGCTGGAGGACTGGAGTTTGCCCACCCCAGTTACAACCTCTGTCAGAATGATAATGCAACCGTGCCCCTGTTCAGGATTCAAGCCAGCTATATGTTCTGGTGACCATTTAGTAATTTTACAAGTGTCAGTGGAATGAGAGCTTAGGGCAAATCTTCCAACTGGACAAGTGTTCTGGTGACAACTGTCACTGGCTCTTTCCCACACTAACCAATGGGGACAAGTGTTCGTGACAACTGTCAACGACTCTGACCCTTCTCCATTCTGTTCAAAACTAAAAAGACATTGAGCAAATTGCAAAGCTTTTAGTAAATTGTGATTCTCATAAACATGTTCATGATTTACAGGCCTCCTGGATAATGCTTTGTGCAAGAAGACAGTCTGGCCCCTAGTTTTTATGGCAGGGGGCTAGAGGGAAGAAGCTGCAGCGCTGAGCATTGGGTGGACTCCACATCTTGAGGCCTATATGGCCACTGAGTTTTTGGATGAGGACAGGGAGTATCTTTTCTAGGTTGTGTTGGCACTATTGGTATCATACTTATGTGATGAGCTGTCGGAAGTAGGGTTGCAGCTAACAATTATTTTCATAATCAATTAGTTGCCCGATTAATTTTTTTGGATTAGTTTCTCTCCCTCCCACCAACTAATCGATAATGAGAATAGTTGACAACTATTCTCATTATCGATTAGTTGGTTGCAGCCCTAGTCAGAAGGTTGTCAGTCAAATTCTAGCTGACCTTGTTTTGGTTTATTTTTTCTTTCATCGCAATGAAGTTACCAACTACTGGTCATGTATGAAAACTTGGAGTACGTGTTTTTGTTGTGCAAAACAATAAATATAGGTATCTATTTTTTTGTATTTATTTTTTTCTATACCACAAGTGGTGTGTATGTGTGTGTGTGTGTGTATGTATGTATGTATATATATATATATATATATATATGTGTATGTATGTATCCTTTATATTGCTTTTTTGTTGTCTTCTTTAGACAAGCACACGGTGTTCATTATGTTATTTTTTTTGTGTGCGCCTTTTGAAATTTACTATGGCCATACTTCCTGTTTCCTGTAGACGCTCCTTTTACTGTAATGCTAGCCTTTGTTGGCTCCCGAGGGAAAACACATGACAGACAAATATGGCTGACGAGTCGCTCAAGCCATCATGGTTACATCCTGTCCATGTTAGAGGTTCTCTTCACAGTTACTAGAATTTAAAGAAGATTTTTACTTTGTGCAGACTGTCTTCTGAACTGATCACATAGCATAGCCCCAGTGCAACTGCAGGAAAGCAAGTATGCAGCTCAGGAGTTTTGGCATAATTTAACTAAGGCATGACAAAGGATTCCCAAGTCCCTAAGGGTTATCTAAAGAGATGGCACAGTTTAGGTGGCCTGCTTTGTCTGACTAAAACCACAGACAGGGCAATTGGAGTGTTTGGATTTCCTCCTCAGCTATCACTTCTTAAGGCCTCAATTACACCTTCCCTATTCCCCAAGTGAGAGAATGCTCAAGATGAAGAATCCCATTATTCTCAATGGGCCTGTTCACACCTGACCAATGCGTGAAACTCCAAAAAAAAACATTAACTTTTTGTAGGGCAGAATTATGTGATCTTGGTCCCATAGACTTCATTGGAAGCACCTGCAAAACAACTTGCAAATAGCTTGTTTATGTGCATCTTTTAGGGGCTCCCATTTAAAAGTTTATGGGTCCAAAAACTCATGATTTTGCTCTTCTACTATGTAAAAACATGGCAAAAAATAGCAAATAAAAACACGTCTAGATCGTCTGGCTATGATC